ATCTGTCATGTGTAGGTCGTGCCTTGTAGGGTATAGGTTTCCATCTAATATTTTCTTTCCGTATCTTGAGGTAACAGTGTGTGGGATACGAAGCAGTCCGGCCAGATAACAGACGAGAGAACGTATCCCAACGGTTATGAACTAGTTGATAATATAAGGCGTGGAAGGCCTGAGTGTTAGAGATAATTTAATAAGGCGTAACAGGAGTAGAATGTAAATAATAGGTAAGTGACTCCCAGACAGGTGCAGTCCAGCCATGAATAGGCCGGAGTCCAGAGGCGCAATCCGGCAAGCAGAACACCGGGTCCGGGCAACTACGACCGAACAGTGTATCGCCGGTTCTGGGAGTGACTGAGCGTAAACAGCTCCCCCGCAGTAAGTTCCCTTGTGCACTGACATGGCTTAGAAATACAAGGTCGCTACAAGTGTGCACAGTTGTGGCTTTGTGTTGACGATCTCTTCGTAGTAGTTGAGTTATGGTGTTATTCAATGCTGGTGAAACCATCGTCAACACCTTTGTCGGTCGTTGGGTCGCCACTTTTTTTCTGCGCCATCGCCTGGCGCCCAGTTCGAGTCGGACCTTTTCGGAACCCTTCTCAAGTTCCTTGGTTGCACTCGCATCCGGGCGACAGTCTACCACCCTGTTGCTAATGGTATGTTGGAAAGATTTCATCGGCAACTCAAGGCTGCCCTGCGAGCTGCAAAAGATCTAGGTAACTGGTCAGACAACCTGCCTTTTTACCTTCTCGGAATCCGCTCGGCACTAAAGTCGGACCTGGATTTCAGTGCGGCCGAGCTGGTGTTTTGCACAACTCTCCGCTTGCCCGGCACGATGATCAGTCCAACCCCACGCGGTCCTGAAGAGACACCTGCCCACTTTGTGCATCGTCTTCGTCAATTTATGCGCTCCTTTTCCCCTGGCCTACCTCGTACTCTAACGACCGAGCCTTATCTCGAGAAGGGCATGGACGACTGCACACATGTGTTTATGCGCTGCGACTAAGTGCGAAAACCCCTGGAGCCGCCGTATGAAGGACCGTTCCGTGTTCCCTCTCGCAATGACAAGATCTGCTGGATCCTTCGTGGAGGCAAGGAGGACGTGATCAGCATAAATCGGATCAAGGCTGCTGTTACCGAAGAGCCGTCAGACCTGCCACGAGGACAAACATGTACTGATTCCCTACCCCATGTTCCTCCATCCCGTGCCCCTTCCATCCCTGCAATCCCATTATCCCGTATACTTCTCTGTCCTACAGTTTCCCAACACCCAACTACTATGTCACCCTTCACAACCGTAGCAACCACTCAACCCTCTCCAACTGTTCCTCCCGTTTGCATCACCCGTTATGGACGTGATGTTCATTTCCCAGACCGTTTTGTTACCCAAGTTTTTTGGGCATCAACTCTGCCTTCGACGTCGGTTCCTGCAGCCTTCGGTCATGCGGGGGGGGTACTGTAGGAATCTGTCGCCCAGAGCAACTGCACTGAGTCACGCTGCCCTTCCTGCGCTGAGCTTCGCTCGCTGCGCGCTATTGCCGTTCCACACGCTTCGTGTCAACTCGTCGCTTCTACTCGCCTAGGTAATCGATACTCCTGTCTCATTTGCTTGGTGGCAGCCGATTGATTTTCCATTACACAGCCTCAACTTGTCACATCTCCACTTTTGCACCTGCACGGCTGGCTATCGTACGCGGCCCCACTGTAAAGCTTCTTCAGCAGTAAAGTTGTTCGAATTCAATCAGTCTTGCCAGACTTGTTATTTTGGGATCCTTCTGATGCCGAGACAGCAACTAACACTCGATAAAACCGCCACAACATCATCTTATGCCAACACCACAAAGCCAGATGGTCATTGCCGACGCAACGAATCAGCGCACGCTCAAGGCATTTATCGACTTTTTCTGTATGTTTAAATTTTACGGCAGAACCCTGTGCACACACAAACTGTTTCTGCTACTGTTCTGTATGTCTCTGATGATGAATCGCGATGGATTTCTAAACATCAGGCGAATAAACATATTGTCCCAGCGACTGCACATGTTGTTTGCACAACGGAGATCCTCCGACTAACAGTTGGCTAAGTAAGAATATGCGAAGCAGCTATATCGAGATGTACCTCAAACGGACACTATGGGCACTATGAAACCTAAGGTGTCCATTTGTAATTGAAGTTCATGCCTGATTACTGAGATGCGTGTTCTACGAAAAAGTTACACAGTCAACATACTTTGAAGGAAGCAGGTGCGTAGGGCTGTGTGACGCGAAGCGTTGAATTTAAAATTTTGGGGTAAAAGGCCCACTTAAAGATCATTACTTTGAATGCGCTCTCATATAATTACTAACACTCAATGCCAGGCATATTCGGAGTCGATCATAACATTAGCTGTCAAATTGGCTTCAAAAAACCCGACAGAAATCCGACACTACAAGCGGCACCAGCGACAAGGCACCCCAC